CCACTTCCGGCTTTTTTGTTTTTGCTTATGTGGTGCTGAGGAATCGAACCCAGGGCCTCAGGCATGCAAGGCAAGCGCTCTACCACTGAGCCACCTTCTCAGCCCCCGTCCATGGAATTTCTATTCTGTGCTATAAATAGAAAGGAGGGCAGCACTGACTTTAGTGCTTTACTTTCCTCTCCTCCTCTCTCTCTACTTGGTCCTTGGGTCATTCTGGACTTTTGATATTTCACTTTTTCTTTCTTTCATTAATTTTTTTGGACCTCAGTTGAAACCCCAAAAGGTGTACACCCTTATGTTTATAATTCAATGAGCTTCATGCCTTGAATATGTCTATTATAAAACCATAATCAAGCCAAGAACCATTGATTCATGCCTGTAATCCTAGCTACTCATTAGATTGAGATCTAAGGATTGAGGTTAGAAGCCAACTGGAGCAGAAAAGTCCATGAGACTTTTTTTTTTTTGCCAGTCCTGGAGCTTGAACTCAGGACATGGACACTGTCCCTAGCTTCTTTTCCTCTATCACTTGAACCACAGCACTACTTCTGGCTTTTTCAGTTTATGTGGTTCTGAGGAATTGAATCCAGGGCTTCATACATGTATGCTAGGCAAGCATTCTATCACTAAGCCACATTCCCAGCTTGGTGAGACTCTCATCTATAATGAATTATATTATTATTATTTGTCATTCATGGGGGTCTGATGTCTGGGCCTAGGCACTGTCCCTCAGCTCTTCAGCTCAAGGCTAGAGCTCACCATGTGAGACACATCGCCACTCTCGGTTTTTCTACTTCTGTGTTGCTGAGGAATTGAACCCAGGGCCTCATGCATGCAAGGCAAGCACTCTACCACTGAGCCATCTTCCCAACTCCCTACAATAAATTATTTTTTTTAAGTGGCACTGTGGCTCAATTTGACAAGCACCAGCCTTCCCCATGACAAGGCTCAGGCCCTGAATTCAAAAACCAATATTGGCCCCACAAGAAAAACAAGCCTGATTATTAAAAAAAAAAACAGCAATCAGAGTAACACCCATATTTAGTATCTCTAAATGTATCCCTCTGCCTGACTGTCCTAGGTGATCTATCCTTAATATCCATTTTGTATCTCCTGTTTTAACTTCCTTTTTTAGATGTGTGTGTGTGTGTGTGTGTGTGTGTGTGTGTATGTGTGTGCGCGAGCTTATGCACATGTGTACATACCCATGCCTTCCTGGTCTTCTCCAACCACCCTTTGATGCATACCACCGTAGGGCTCACACAGGAGTTTGAGAAGAACCAGCCTGTATCTCAAAGGCAGGCACACACAAGGTTATCCACAGCTAAGTCAAAGCCATCTTCTCCTCTTCCTATTCCTTCACCTTGCCTCTCTTCCCTTCACCTATTCCCCTTCCTCCTTTGATTGCCCTCCATCTCCTTCTCCCTTTCTTCCTTCTCCTTCCCTGCCCCTGCTTTTCCCTCTGCCTTCTTTCCCTGTTTTTCTCTTCACCCATCCCTCCCCCTCCTCCTCTGCCATACCCTTTTTCCCTCTTCTCTCATCCTTTCTGGCTTTCACCTTCTCCTCTTCTTCCTTCTCCTCTTTCCATCCCTCTTCCTCCAAGATGATTGTCCATATTCATTTAATAGCAGTAACCCTCCCGTCCCCCACACATCTGTGGTTTCATCAAAGTTTGTTACCTGAAGTCAACTGTGATCTGAAAATATCCCACTTGAACAGTTCCAGAGTTAAACAGCTTGATCTTTCAAATTGTATGCTATTCCAAGTAGCATAGGGAAATCTCACTCTCTCCTGTTCCTCTTGCCTGGAGTACAGATGATCCCTTTGTCCAATGAATCCACACATATGAAACCCACCCGTTAGTCTCTCAGTAGCCACCTTCTAATTTGGTGATGTCACTTCTCCTGTATTCTAGTGTTCATTTGTGTGTAAGTAACCTTTTAATTGATAATGGCACCAAGGTGCAGAAGTGGTTATGATAGCTATTCAAATACGCCAAAGAAAAGACAGAAACTGCTTCCAAATGAGTCACACTTCCAGCTTTTTTTCCTTTAGTTCTTTTTTAGGTGGGAATCTCAAGTTTTTGCATAGGACCAGTCTCAAAGTATAGTTCTCTCAATCTGCCTCCTCAGGAATTGGGATTACAAGGGTGAGCCACTGAGACCATCCCTAAATATTGTTTAATTCAAATGCATGCTTTATTAGATGCAGTTTCTCACATAGACATTACAGCAGTGTGTCAAGAACCCACTTTATGCATAGATAGTGAGGCACAGGGAAGGGAGTGAAGAAAAAATGTAAGATCATACACCTGTGCAATGACCCCTGGGAAATACAGACTCAAGTTTACCTAAAGGAAGGCCTTCAAAATAGAACTCATTTGCAAGATAAGCGTTCGAACAAGTTCATTTCATGCATATCTAATATGCTCTATAAAGTTAGTTTAATTGACAAAATACTGGTGCCTGGAGAGAACAGAATAAGTCAAACCCGGGGAACATTGTTCGATAGAGCTCATGTTTTTGTATTTTGTTTGTTAATTTTATTTGGTTGTGGGGGCTGAACTCTGAGCCTGGGTGGTGTCCCTCAGGTCCTCAGCTAAAGGCTAGTGCTCTAGCACTTGAGCCACAGTGCTACTTTTGGCTTTTTCTGCTTATGTGGTGCTGAGGAATCAAACCTAGGGCCTCATGCATGCAAGGCAAGCACTCTACCACTGAGCCACCTTCCCAGCCCAATAGAGCTCAAGTTTGCCATTAAAAGCAATGTGTGCTGGGTGCTGCTTGTTTACACATGTAATTCTAGCTACTCAGGAGGCTGAGATCTGACAAGATCAAAAGCAACCGGGTAGGAAAGTCTGAGACTCTCATCTCCAGTTAATTGCAGGAAAAGCAGAAAGTGGTGCTGTAGCACAGTGGTGGGGGCTAGCCTTGAGCATAGACATTTGGGACAGTGCCCAAATCTCCTGAGTTCAAGGTGTAAAAATGAAAGTAGTATCTGTGGAGATGGGAGAGAAAAACTGGGAGAGAGCAACGAAAGAGTTGACATTGTTAAAAAAAAGCATACTCTTTTTTTGGGGGGGCAAGGGGTCCGGTCATGGGGCCTGAACTTCTAGGCTTGAGCACTATCCCTCAGTTCTTCAGCTCAAGGCTAGCACTCTACCACTTGAGCCACAGTGCCACTTCCAGTGTTTTTTTCTTTTTGCTTATGTGGTGCTGAGGAATCAAACCCAGGGCCTCAGGCATGCAAGGCAAGCACTCTAACACTGAGCCACCTTCCCAGCCCAAGAAGCATACTCCTTGCCTGACTGATGTAACTGTAATCTCTCCATATATCACCTTCATGATTATGATAAAACCTTTTAAAAGAAATGTCTTTGGTCTCTGTCTACCTTTTTTACCCCGTAAACTTTTTTCAGTTTCTTTTTTGAGATGGAATGTCACTGTCAATGTCACTGTGTTGCCATGACAAATCTCAAACATCTAGACTCTGGCAATCCTCCCACCTCAGCCTTCCCTAGAATGTTGCTCTACAGGTGTGCACCACCATGCTGAGCAAGGTGGCTTTTCTTGTCATTCCTGTCACTGAAGTCTGCACGTGAGGAATGGAAACAAGATTGGGGGGAGATGTCCTCTTTGTTTTGTTTTGGTCGGTCATGAGGCCTGATCTCTGCACCTGGGTGCTGTCCCTCAGTTCTTCAGCTCAAGGCTAGCTTCTACCACTTGAGCCATAGCTCTGCTTCTGGATTTTTCTGCTTATGTGGTGCTGAGGAATTGAACCCAGGGCCTCATGCATGCAAGGCAAGCACTCTATACCACTGAGCTACCTTCCCAGACCTCTTCTTGTGGTAACCCTAAGCTGCATATGAAAACATTCCAGAAAGCCCGGCCCAGTTCATTGTAGTTGCAGGTAGCACAGGGAGGTTGGGAAGTGGCACAAGCAGTGATCCCAGTAGCCATGGCTGCTAGAGAAGGAAGAGCTGGAGGCAGGCACAGGGCCTGGGAACCAGATTCAGCAGGAGAGGAAGACTGAGGGCCCTAAGGAGAAGAACAGCAGCCACAACCACGGGCATCTGGGGACCTACAGGGAGACGGAAGGCTACGGAGGAGGCTCTGCTTCTCTTTATTACATGCTAGGATCCCTAAACCTGCCAGTGCCACACTTCCAGGTGGCAGCAGCCATTGCTACTTGGTGTTCACAAGGGTCTTCTCTAGAGCACCATATTTAGGGGTTGGGAAAGGCAGGAAACTATGTCATCTAATACTCGTTCTATATACTTGACTAGTGTGTGGCAGAGATTCTTGTCTGCACTTAGTGTACAACAGGTTCTGCCAACTGTTGGACTCTGGCAGAACAATGTGCGGTCAGAGCAGCTGGCTTGACTTTAAAGGCATCGGGGTCGTAATATGTCACATTCACAGGAGTCCTGAAATAGAAGAAGAAAACAACCTGAAGTGAAATGAACTGAAGAGACAACCAGTGCTCTCCCCAAGTGGTAAATACTGGGACATTAGCCATTAGATAGTTATCACTTTCATGGCACAGAAGAGGAATGGAAGATGCAGAGAAGTTAAACAAGTGAGCCAGAGGCTAAGTGTTGTAGCATGTCTGGAAGTTCCACACTTGGGAGGATGAGGCAGGAGGATTCCAAATGCAATGACATTACAGAGCAAAATCCTCTCTCAAAAAGCCCAGGGCTGCAGCTCAAGCACAAGTCCCATAAATTATCAGCATGCCAAAAAAAAAAAAAATCTGTGACCAAACCCACACGTGCCTATATTTCAAGTCAGGGCTTCAAACGTGCTGAACAGATGCTCTACCACGTAAGCTATAGTCCCAATCCATTTTGCTTATTTTTCAAACTGGGTCTCACTTTCTATTCCAGGCTACCTGTGTAGCTAGGGTGACAGCTGTGCACCACTATACCCAGCTGTTTATAGGTTGATATGGCATCTTACAAACTTTTCCCCAGACTAGTATCAAACACTGATTTTTTTAAAAAGATATGTCTCCTGAGGAGTCAGGATTACAGGCGTGAACCTCTGCACCATGCTCTAAATATCATTGTGATGAACAAGTTCATGTTCATATCTCATGATCCTTTTTTAGACTGGCAGTAGGGATTTGGGGCCAGACTCCCACTATTGGTCAGGCTGGCCTCAAACCAGAGACTCCCTCTAAACACAGCCTGTATACTGCTCTGGGATTATAGGCACATACTTCCACGTCAGGCTGTCTGCTGACCCTTTAGTGTTAGACTTCTTCTAACATCTACTTTTTATCTTTTTTGGTCATGGAGTTTGAACTCTGGGCCTAGGTCCTGTCCCTCACTTGTTCAGCTCAAGGCGAACACTCTACAATTGAGCCACCTTGACACTTCCAGTCTTGTGGTGATTTATTGGAGATATGAGTCTCACAGACTATCCTGACCTGGCTGGCTTTGAACTGCGATCCCCAGATCTCAACCTCCTAAGTAGCTAGGATTACACACATGAGCCACTGATGTCTGGCTGATCATCTACTTTTTGTTGTTGTTGGTCGTAGGGCTTGATCTCAAGACCTAGGTACTCTCTCTGAGCTCTTCTGCTCAAGTGGTCTACCATGAGCAACAGCACCACTTTCCTGCCCAGGCTGGCTCTGAATCTCCTCAGATATCAGCCTCCTTAGTAGCTAGAATTACAGGTGTGAGACACCAGCACTCAGCTCATCTCTACCATCTATGATTAGGACTATCATATATTTCTCACTGTAAACAGTGGCAGGTTTCTACAGGGTTTGGTGTTGTTTAGGTTTTTCTTTTATAGCTTTTTTTATTTGTCCTTTGGTTAACTGGCCTGAATTGAGGGCCTGGGAACAGTTCTTGAGCCTCCTTGTGCTCAAGGCACCTGCTCTACCACTTGAGCCACAGCACCACTTTTGGTTTCTGAGTGCTGAATTGAAGATAAAGAGTCCCATGGGACTTTTCTGTCCAGGCTGGCTTTGAACTGCAATCCTCAGATCTCAGCCTCCTGAGTAGGTAGAATTACAGGCATGAGCCACTGGCAACCCGCTTTACTGCTGTTTTTGTATTGTGATTGCATTTGTTGTCTTTCTGCAGTTCTTTTCCCTGGCCTGATCAGGTGAACCTTCCCACTCCTCACAAACCTTGCTGTCCCACACTGGCCTTCAACCAACATACCTTGTATTTGGATTCGCAAGCTCCAGAATTCTAGGAGATACTTTTGAATGGGTAGCAGCATAAGACACTGGCCATTTGGCGTCCCGGGCAGGGAGATAGTCTGGATGAACGGGCTTCGACTTAGCTAGATCGGTTATTCGAGGACTAGGTACAGCTAACATGGCGGCAGAGGGTATCTGCAGAAACAAGGAGACACCAGGTTACACCGCAGATGTCACCATGCCGCCTTACCTGGGCATCTCCCACCCCTGCAGCCCCCACCATTCCTCTCCTGTATGACTGCAACTCCCTCCTAACTGCCCCTCCCCCTCCCATTCCTGCAGGCCAGTCCAGCCTCCCTGTGTCTGTCAGGAGAGAAGGTGCAGTGAGTGAGGGTGTCCAGGAGGCAGAGCACATCTGAGAGTTCCGCCTACATCACCCCACTTCATCCTCCTAACAGCCCTTGATCCAAGTCCACCCCAAAGCCCCAGCCACAACCCTTCCCCTGGCTGTCCACTGGACTCATGGCTAACACCAGGCAGGCTCTCCCTCCCTGGGCCCAGAAGGCCTGTAGAAGGATCTTGGCTGCTATTGTTCTTCTCTGATCTCATCTTCCTCCCCTCCCTCCCTGGGTCATAAGGCACCTCTCCTCTAGCTCCATCTACCTCATGACAATTCCACTTTCTACTTCTGCTGAAAATCCTGTCTTGGCTTGACTGCCCCTTCTTCTTTCACATCCCAAAATTCAAACATCACAATCTCAAAGAGATCCTTCTGACCAGCTAAAAATAAATAGGTCAGGCTTTCTGATGTGCCTTTGTAACAGTACTCATTATTGGGTTGTGTGTGTATGTGTGTGTTTTGCCAGTCCTGGGGCTTGAGCTCTGGGGCTTGGGCACTGCCCCAGAGTCTCTTTGTGCTCAAGACTAGTGCCTTACCACTTGAGCTACTGGCTTTTTCTGGTTGGTTTATTGGAGACAAAAAGTCTCTTGGACTTTCCTGCCTGGGCTGGCTTTGAACTGTGACCATCAGATCTCAGCTTCCTGAGTACCTAGGATTACAGGTGTGAGCCTCCTTCACCTTGGCTTGTAGGGCTTCTGTCATAGTTTTTTGTTTTTTTGTACTATGTAGCCCAGAGTGACCTTAATTCATGATCTCCTCCTCCTAAGTGCTGAGATTACAGGCATACATCATGTAAGCCCTTTTACTCTTGTTCACAGCACTTATTTGCACCTGATTTAGCTGCCTTCTGTCTTTGTTTATTGGCCCTTCTCTCCATTAGAATAGTAGCTGCTCAGTGCCAGGTACTTGTTTCTCAATAGCTAGTACACACTCTGACACTTAAGAGTCAGAGTGTTAATCCATTATCACTTTGAAGACTAACCCTGCCATACTGCCTTTCCACCATTTGCAAGGTGAGACCTCACTGGAAAAAAAAACATATATGCACAGTTGGTACAGCTCGGCAGCCCCGAAGTGTTCCATGTGGAGCTGGCGAACATTGTTCTGGGGTGCTAGAATATGGTTTTTAGTGAGAGCAAGCTCCCTTTGTGCTTTAAAAAAAAACAAGAAATGAATTTCAGCAGTAATGCAACATTACATACCAAGACCTGAGAACAAAGCCATTGTCCTGCCAACTGAAACACTCTATGAGGTTTGTTCCTAGAGTGATATCCTAGTGATATTTTTCCTGTGGGTTTCCACATCTAAATCTTGGTGCTTAGAGAAGAGGAAACTGGTCTCACCTCCTCTGGCAACGCACTCAAGATATTTACTGAAAACCCATCTAGGACCAGGCAGAAGGCTGGTGGCAGATCAGTGGAGGGATGTGAGGAGCAGGGAGATGGAGAAGCCGCTGACCGTGCCAGGCCCAGTGAGAGGAGCCGTGTCTCCCTCACCTCACATCTATGTCACACCTGTCCACCATTCCTTTGCTCTACCCAGCTTCTAGCTCTTCTCAATCTGAGGGCTTTGACCAGGGCTCTTCCCTTTACTGGAATATTCTCCAGCCTTCCCTTACTGGTTGCTTATCCTTCAGGACTGGGGCAGTCCCTGTCTTCGCAAGGTACTCACCACGCACTGCACACAGCCTGTCTCCACCAAGTCCCTCGTTTCCCACTTTATCTTCCAGACCACTTACCACTAGCTGACATGATCAATTAATTATTAGTTGTCTCAACTGAGCAGCGTGGAGCTCTGCTTTGTTCCCTGGGAACATGGGCCAGCTCACAGACGCAGTCAGACACCTGTTCTGTGACCTTGGCCACTTAGTGCCTCAGGAGGCTCTCCACATAGGACTAGAAGGAGTAAGGTGGGGACTTGAACCCAGCTCCAACTGGCTCCCAAACCCATGCTCCTTGCCCACCACTCGGGTGCCTCTCTCCATGTCACATAGCTAGGTCTTCCCTTCCCAGTGATTTTGGGCTGGGCCTTGCAGAGGTAGAATTGCACCATGGGAACAAGGAGAAGAGAGCTGGGGATGGCGAGGCGGCCATGCTTACAGGACGGATGGGCTTCTCACTTCTCTCTCTCTCGTAGCAGAGCCCCTCTAACTTGATCCTTGGGTGGGCAAGGTCTATAATCCTTGGAGTTGCAATAGCACTCAAGGCAGATGCTGGAATTTTGTTCTCAAGCTAGGGTAGAAAGAGAAAAAATTATACCAGAAACAATCAAATGATAAACATTATTGGAAATGGCAATCTAACTCAAAATCATAGAGGGCTAGCCTTGAACAGGTCAGAGACAGCACCCAAACCCTGAGCTGGAGCCTAAAACTGAGAAAGAAAAAAGAACCAAAGGAAAGAAAAGAATGAGAAATAAGCTAGGCGCCCATGGCTCACACCTCTCATCCTAGCTACTCAGGAGGCTGAAATCTGAGGATTGGGGTTCAGAGCCTGGCTGGGCAGGAAAGTCCACGAGACTTTTATCTCTAGTTAATCACCAGAAAACCAGAAGTGGTGCTGTGGCTCAAGGTGGAGCACTACCCTTGAGCGGAAAAAGCTCAGGGACAGCACCCAGGCCTGAGTTCAAGCCCCATGACTGATAAAAGGAAGTAAATAAACAAACATCATTAACTTCAAATTACAAAGCATAGCCTGTTCTCTGGACCATATTTCTCACAACCAAACAGGAAGAAGGAGAACCAGGCAGAACCCGACCCTACTGGTAGAATTGATTTCCATCATTCTCACATACCAAAACTGTATTGTATGAATTCTAAGCCAGAATTTCAGGTCTAACTGCTAAAGTACAGATGTGGAGGAAACAGCCAGCAATGTTATATACTGACTTGAGAACTAAATGGCCATGTGGATTTGTGGGCTGATACAGTCATTCAAGAGGGCAGTGAGAAAACATAAAACTTCCGTTTGAAATGAGTGTCAGGAGAACAGATTTTCAGTTATGACATTGAATTGAAATCTTGATTTTATGTTTATTCTTAGAACATTACAAACCTCAGGCATTCTGTATTTATAAGTTTAAAGTTAAATTTTAAGGCAATGATTTAATAGCTCAGAAAGTTTTGTTTTCCAGTGTAGATGATTGAAATAAAATCAGACGAGCCAAGAGTTGCTTGCTCATGCCTATAATTCTAGCTACTCAGAAGGCTGAGATCTGAGGACTGTGGTTTGAAACTCAGCCTGGGCTAAAAATACTCCATGAGACTCATCTCCAGTTGATCACAGCAAAGCCAGAATTGGAGCTTGACTCAAGTGGTAGAGTGGTAGCCTTAAGTGAAAAGCCTGAGGCAGCAACCAGGCCCTGAGTTAAAGCCCCAGCCAGTACTGGCACAAGAAACAAAGGAAACAAAATAAATCATCTGGGTGTAGATAGCTCAGACCTTTAGGATCATGGTTTAAAGGCAACTTGAACAGAAAAGTCTCTGTGATCCTGTCTACAACTAAGCAGCCAAACACCAGACTGGAAACATGACTCAAGTGATAGAGGCTCCAACATAGCAAGCAAGCATGACACCCTGAGTTCAAGCCATAATACCAGCACACACTAAAAAATTCAAATGTAGGGGCTGGGAATGTGACTCAGTGGTAGATCGCTTGCCTTGCATGCATGAGGCCCTGGGTTCGATTCCTCAGCACCCCATAAGCAAAAAAAAAAAGCTGGAAATGGTGCTGTGGCTCAAGTGGTAGAGCGCTAGCCTTGAGCTGAAGAGCTGAAGGACAGCGCCCAGGCCCAGAGTTCAGGCCCCATGACTGGACCCCCCAAAAAAGTTCAAATGTAGCATATTTATAAGAATAGTTTATATTATATAATAATTTTGCTAACTACTATCTAGTAACTTATAGTTTACTACTATTAAAAACTGTTAGCATTACAAATATAAGAAGCCAAGTAAGTGTTGGTTGCTCATGTATATAATCCCAGCTACTGAGGATGCATAGATAGATCATAGTTCAAAACCAACATGAACAGACAAATCTGGAAGGCTGTTGTTTGGTTTGGTTTGTTTTGTGCAGGTCCAGAGACTTAAACTCAAGACCTGGTGTTGTCCCTGATCTTCTTTCACTCAAGACTAGTGCTCAACTACTTCACCACAGTGCCACTTCCAGATTTTTCTAAGTAGTTTATTGAAGATAAGAGTCTCATGGGGCCTAGGAATGTGGCTTAGTGGTAGAGTGCTTGCTTAGCATACATGAAGCCCTGGGTTCGATTCCTCACTGCCACATACAAAGCTTGAAGTGGCACCATGGCTCAAGTGGTAGAGTGCTAGCCTGGAGCAAAAGAAGCTCAGGGACAATGCCCAGACTTTGAGTTCAAGGCCCACGACTGCCAAAAAAGGAAGAAAGAACAAAAAAGTCTCATGGGCTTTCCTGCCTGGGCTGGCTTTGAACTGTGATTCTCGGCCTCCCGAGTAGCTGGGATGACAGGCATGAGCCATGAGCACCTGGCCTGGGAGATTCCTATCTTCAATTAGCCAGCAAAAAGTTAGAAGTGGAGATATTACTCAAGATACAGAGCACCAGGTTGAACAAAATTTCTAAATGAGAGCACAAAGTATTGAGTCGTAGCCCTGGTCCCCGCACAAACATAAAGCAAAGATGATAAATCTAAAAAGCAAACTAACCCTTAAAGCCCACAAAAGTTTGACTTTAAATTTCAAATATATAACACAAAGATTATTTGTAGCCAGGGTCGGGAATACCAAAATACACACATCATTGGATGTGGCACTAATTGTTTCCAGGTCTCTACGTTCTTCCAGACTTCTTCAGAGGTAGAGTTTGTGTTCTTGCCTCCTTGAGTTTGGCAAGACTTAAATGTTATCAGACCATAGAGTAGATTGCAGTGACTTGTAAGTTCCAAGGCCAAGCCATAAAAGGCCTAGGTCTCAGAATACCTCAAGGCAAGCATTCCATTGTAGGAAACACAGCTGGCATGCCTGGACATGTGTTTGCCACAGGGTGAGGCCATAGAAAGTGTTGAACTTACTACCAACTGAGTTTAGCCTGAAGTCTTCCTTGCCTAGGCATCAAGCATAGAGACCACTGTGTCTGACAGAACCTTGAATCCCTAATCCCCAGGGAGATGTGTAGGATCTAGAATCTTCAGTCTTGGAGAGGTGATTACTTCTACAAAAGGTTATGAGGGTGAGCCTCCCCTTAATGGAGGAAGTGTACTTTTGAAGAAAGTGAAGAGAGATCCTGGGGAAGAAATCGTTATGATTCTCTCTCTCTCCTCTCTCTCTCTCTCTGGGGAAGAAATCATTATGATTCTCTCTCTCTCTCTCTCTCACACACACACACAGAGATCCCGTAACACAGCAAGATGACAACTACACAGAAGTGAACTTTCCTCAGAAGTCCATCTTAATTTTGAACTTTGCAGCTTCCAGAACGTTTAGTTAAGCCTCCCCGTTAATGGTGGTAGTTTAGCAGAGCACAAGCTGACTTAGGTAAGAAAGAGTCTCTGGAGGATTCTTTCCAGCCATCCATGTAAATATGGATTTCCCAGCAGAAACCCAGACTTGAGAGCAGAGACAAGCCAACCCTTTCTTCCAGTCAGACTTTTTGACCCATGAACTCATTGTACATCATAGTGATTTGGGGATGGTTTAGCATGAAGCAATGGGAACCAGATGGCAACAAGTTCTCTATATTGGCTTGAATGTTTGTTAAAAAATTTTTTACTGAGCGGATTCAATTTATAAGCCTAAATGAGCTCACTTTTAGTGGTTTAAAAGTAAGGAAATAAACCAACTACTGGCAGTCTATGGTTTTTGGTAGCAAGACAGAAAGCAAGGCTCTGGGTGATGAGCCGTCTCAGTGACATAAATAAGAAGTTCATGGAGGGCCAGGTGTATGGCACACCTGTGGTCCCAGCTGTGCTGGAGGGAGGGAGGAAGTAGCCTAATTAGCTAGAGATCCCATCTGAAAACAAAAAACAAAACAAACCTTAAGGAACTAAAACACAAAAAAGGCAATCAGGCTAGAGGTATGGCTCAAGTGGTGGAATTGTGTTTAGTGAGCACAAGCCCCAGTTTAATCCCTTGTGCCAAGAAGGAAAGAAAGATACAGTGGAATTGGCTGCTTGCTTCTAAGACACTGCTGAACTTGAGAAATGATCAGCCCAGGCCTTTAAATGGCCATGTTAAGGGCCAGGTAGGAGGCTGGGAAAATTCTGTGATTTTCCTAATCAACCTTTATCTTCTACTTACCTTCTATTTTCAGAGGCTTCAAATTCTGGAAGGCGAAACTGAATTCTGTGAGTGGGTGAATTACAATGAAAATTGAATTCTCAAACTTATCCCAACCTTTATGTCAAAATTGAGGCAATGATTGGAAAGGAATGGGAGCTTGAAAACGGGCATGCAGATCTATGAGCAGACTTCAGTAAAGAAGTCTTTAAACCCTTAACTACAGCTGAACTTTCCTTATGACTGGAATCAGTGCTTCCACCCCTCTGAGGAGAGGTTAACCTGTCTGCACTCAGATTCCTTCTGGACAGTGCTGCCTTATCCCTGTTTGCTGTCATTGTAACCAGATCCCGGCTGCCATCGTATCCCGCCATGGTTTCACCAGCTGCCACACCTGCCCCACAGTTGGTCCTCTTTCAGTCCCCGTGTAGCGTCTCTCCTCACCCTAGCCAAGCCATGACGCATGAAAAGGGGAGAGTGAGAAAATTTCCTTGGGTGAGAGAGGAAAGCACACACCTAGAAATCTGCAAGTGTCCTGTGATAAAGTGAACCAGACAGTGAATGTCTCACGCGAGCCCACTTACACCTTTGGGAGGAATGTAGTTTGGATCTATAGCTTTTGCCATGGAGAGTTGCAGAATCCGGGCAGAAGGATCGGTGAAGCGAACACACTCTCTTGGAAAGTAATCACTGCTGGGCCTACATGCAAACAGAAATATGAAATAGTGTCATTCCAATCAATATCTGTCCTTTGTCCATCTTAGCAACATTGTTGCCAACAATCGTTAGCTCTCTTTAGAACAGATTAGTGTTTGTCAAAATTTAGTTACACTTTTTATTTGTTCATACCAGATATGTAAATATGTTTCCATATGTGAAACCAATTATCATGATGCCATGTAATCTTTAAAAAATTTTTAATTGTTATTACAGTGTACAGTGTACAGAAGGGTTACAAAAATTTTTTAATTGTTATTACAAAGGCAATGTACAGAAGGGTTACAGTTATATAAATGGGTAAAGAGTACATTTCTTATTGGACAATGTCACCCCTTCCCTTGCTTCCAGATTTTCCCTCTCATCCCCACCTACCTGTTGTATAGGCCATTTTCAACATGTGAGTACCACTGTTGGATCTGCTCACCCTTTGTCCCTCCATCTGTACTCCTTTAACCTCCCAAAGCCAGATAAATGAACAAACAAGACAAGAAACAACAACAACAGAAACCCTCGTTTCCATTTCCTGAAGTTCACTCATAAATATTTTATCCGACTAGAGGCACACAGCCATGGTGCCTTTGTGTTCTTCTGCCAAGGCTATCCTCCTTTGGTCTCAGTGTGTTAATGTCTAGGGTTTTGTATAACTTATTATGTCCTGGTATATTTTAGAGTTAACTTCTGCATAGCCTTCTTTTTAATGCCAGTACTGGGCTTAAACTCAAGGCCTCTTACCTCTCACTTAACTTTTCCTTCTAAAGCCTAAAATTTTACCACTTTGAGCTGTACCTCCACTTCTAGTGTTATCTGGTTCACTTGGAAAATAGCTGTCTATTGGATTTGTCTGTCTAGGCTGGCTTCAGAGTTCCTCAGATCTCAGCCTCCAGAGAAGCTTGGAACACAAGGGTGAGCCATTAATTCCTGGCCCTATGCCAAGTTTACATTTAACCCTGACTCAATTAAAAAAGAACCAGAATTGATTTCATGATGTATCATGGATGAGCTGGGACCTTCTGTTTGAAAACACATCAAAGTCTCCGACTAGATCCCAGAGAGAAAAATCCCGTTCTTCACTGAGGTCCTTTCTGTGAGGGTCATTCTCTCTCTGTCCCATGCAGTGCAATTTCAGGTATATTGGTCATAGCTCCCTGCCACGGACCAATGGTCACAGGCTGTACTCCATATCTTTCTTTCCCTGACCAAAAACCCACCCATTAATCAAGAAATCTACAGATCTAATATGAAAGAAGCTTTTCTCAAATGTATAAATACCCTGGAGAGGTAGGCTATAATATAGTTTTATCAGTACTATGGAGATTGTACTCTATTAAAACTATTAACAAAATATGCTCAGTTATACTGCTGAGATATAATTAACATATATAACATACAATATATAACATAATTAACACACTATAATTTATCTTTTCTATTTTTTTTTACTGAGTGTACAACTAGTTTCTAGAATAGCTGTAAATGAGTGTAACCATCACCATGAATTTAAGAATGTCCTAATCAACATGAAGGGAAAGGCCACAGCTATTTGTGGTAACTTCCATTATTCACCTCCATCTCCGCCTCTGAGAACCAGTAATCTTCTCTCAATCTCTATGTACTTCTGGGAATTGTATTTTATTTATATTTCTTTTTTTTCTGGTCAGTCATGAGGCTTGAACTTTGGGCCGGGGCACAGTCCCTTGAGCTCTTTTGCTGAAGGCTAGCATGCTACCACTTGAGCTACAGCACCACTTATGGTTTTCTAGTGATTAATTGGAGATGAGTCTCACAGACTTTCCTACCCAGGCTGGCTTTGAACCCTGATCCTAAATCTCAGCCTCCTCAGTACAGGCAGTACAGGCAGTACAGGATTACAGGCATAAGCCACCAGAACCCAGCTTATATTCACTTTCTGTGTGTGCGGCTTGAACTTGAGGCTTGGGCACTGTCCCTTATCTGTTTTTTTTTTCTGCTTAAGACTGATGCTCTCCCACTTGAGCGACAGCTGTACTCTTTGATGCTTAACTGGAGACAATAATTTTCTTTCAGTGCATTGTGTCATCTCAACACGGCCTCTCACCACTGTGGTTTCTGGTATGAAGTCACTCATTGGTATTAATGCAGGTGATTTTATGCACTTAGGATTTTACTGTATGTATTGTTGTCACTACTGGAGGTTGACCTCAGGGCCTCAGTCTCACTTGGCCTTTTCACTCAAGGCTAGTGCTCTATCACTTGAGCCACATCTCTACTTCTGGCTTTTTTGCTATATAACTGGAGTGACTCGGATTTGTCTGGCTGGTTGACTTTGAATCTCAGTCCTCAGATCTCAGCCTCCTGTGGAGCTAGGATTACAGGCGTGAGCCACCCAGGACCAGGCCTCTTGGAGTTTTCACAAAAGCCTCTATCTTGGACTCTTTGAGAGTTTACTTAGGAGGTAGCAAGTTATGGATCTCTTTTGAATTCTTTCACCTCAGAGCTTTCCTTTTCTTTTGTTGCTTTTTCTTTTTGTTTAATTTTATTGTGGAGGTGATGTACAGAGGGGGTATCAATAATGTGTCAGCGAGTATAGTTCTTCTTCTTGTTTTTGGGTCCGGTCGTGGGGCCTGAACTCTGGGCCTGGGCACTGTCTCTCAGCTCTTCAGCTCAAGGCTAGTGCTCTACCACTTGAGCCACAGCGCCACTTCCAGCTTTTTTCTTTTTGCTTATGTGGTGCTGAGGAATTGAACCTAGGGCCTCAGGCATGCAAGGAAAGCACACTACCACTGGGCCACCTTCCCAGCCCAAGTACAGTTCTTCTTAAACTTATTACTCCCCCCCTCATTTTTCTCCTACATTCTCTCCCCCCCACCACGTTGTACAGTTTGTTTCCTACATATTGACATATTGTCTTGTGAGTATTGCTGTTGCACTACTGTAGGTTTATTGTTGTTGTTGTTTTTTCCTGTTCTTGAATCTTAAACTCAGGGTCTGGGGATTGTCCGTGAGATTTTGTGCTCAAGGCTATTGCTCTACTACTTTGAGCCACAGCTCCATTTCTGGCTTTTTTAGTTTTTGTAGTTAATTGGAGATAAGTATCTCATAGATTTCCCTGCCCAGACTGGCTTTGCACCATGATCCTCAGATGTCAGCCTCCTGCGTAGCTAGGATGACAGATTGTGAGGCACCTATACCTGGCTTGCTGAATTTTGTGAAGATACACTACTTTTCATAGAACTTGGTATGTCTGGCACCACATTTCTTAACTATTCACTCTGCCTATATTACTTTTTTTTTCCTTTTCCTTTCTTTTCTTTTTTTGGTGGTCATGGGGCTTGAACTCCGGGCCTGCACAGTGTCCCTCAGCTCTTTAGCTCAAGGCTAGCTCTCTCTACCACCTGAGCCACAGAGCCATTTCTCTCTCTCTTTTTGAATGAAATTTCCACCATGAGTTCATTGATACTACTGATAGTATCACACATTTCTCTGAAATTCCACTCATTTCACATTATTATTTTTCCTTTCTAATTCTTTAGATTTGATGATCTCAAATGACCTATCTTCAAGTCTTCTGCCTGCTCCTGTGTGCAGGTGAACCCTCTAGTGCGTAAGCCCCCTGGTCACAATGACCACGCTCTAGGTGCTTATTTACTGGAGCGCTCATATGTCCTCACAAGCACCTGTTGAGTCTTCAATTTATAGAAGAGCAAAAAAGAGGCTGATTTGTAGGACTCTGGTGGCTCACATCTGTAATACCAGCTAGGTAAGAGGCTGGGAATCAAGGTTCTACATCAGCTCAGACAGATGGGAGACTTTTATCTCCAATTAACCAGCAAAAAACCTGGAAGTGAAGTTGTGACTCAAGTGATAGAATTCCAGCCTTGAGCAAAAAGCAAAGCAAGAGTGCAAGGCCCTGAGTTCAAACCCTCATTAATACACATATATGAAACTATAATCCCCAAAAGAGAAGTCCGTGAGAAACTATGAGAAGTGTTTCATAAAATAAGCACTCAGAGTACTCAGCTGAAGAAAAACTGTACTTAATATATACATGGCTGAAGAGGTTTTCTGAAGTATTATGTGATAGTTGCTATCATAACAAGTATCTTAAACCAGTGAACAAAAAGTTAGCCGATGGGGATGGTGCAAGAATCTGGGTTCAATCCCTAGCACCAGAATGAACAAATGAAAATCATATGAAAAAAATGGAGACTGTGGTTTCTATCGCCAGGTAGTGGTTCCCATTCCAGAAAGGCTGGTCGTGAGGCTTGAACTCTGGACCTGGGTGCTGTTCCTCAGCTAGCTCAAGGCTAGTGCCCTTCCACTTTGAGCCAAAGTGCCACTTCCAATTTCTGAGTGGTTAATTGGAGATAAGAGTCGCATAAGGATTTTTCTGCTCAGACCGGATTCGAACCTCTATCCTCAGATCTCAGCCTCCTGAGTAGCTTGGGTTATAGACATGAGCCACTGGTGCCAGACAAATTTTTCTACACAGGCTGGTTTTCAACCATGAACCTTCAGGTCTTCAGTTCCTGAGTAGCTAGTATAATAGGCATGGGCTACACGTACCTGGCTTATTAGTATCTTAAGGCATAGATAGCATCCATACTGAACACATTCACCTTATGTGTTCTGAGTAGAATAGTACGCAAGAGCACTTTCACCTCTATTTTATTTACTGTAACCCTCCAACACATCAACCATGTCACAAGTTGACTCTCATGGTTAAGGTATTGCCTAAGCTTGTCTTTTAAAGACAAGGAGAAATCAGCCAGGTGCTGGTGGCTCATGCCTTTAATCCTAGCTATTCAGGAGACTAAGATCTGAGGATCCCAGTTCAAAGCCAGCCTGGGCAGTAAAATCCATGAGACGCTTATCTCTTGTTGACCATCAGAAAACCAGGTTTGGGAAAGTGGGCAGGCCCTCAATTCAAGCCCCACAAATGACAAAAAAAAAAAAAAGTCTAGTTGCCGGTGGCTTTCACCTGACCTGTAATCCAAGCTCAGGAGGGTGAGATCTGAGGATCACAGTTCAAAGCCAGCCAAGGCAAGAAAATCTGTGAGACTCTGACATCCATGAGACTCTTATCTTCAATTAATCAAAGAAAAGTCCTGAAGTAGTGCTGTGGTTCAAGCAGTAGAGTGCTTGCCTTGTTCAAATGGAGCTTAGGAACAGCGCCCAGGCCCAGAGTTCATGACCCAGGACTGGCAGAATAATAATAATAAATAAAAAATCCTGTATTCAAATCAAAAGACAAAAGCACCTGACCTGTAAAGTCATAGTCATACAAGCACATCAAATTTAGAAAATGCGAAGACTTATGGTGTTCATCTGCAGATACTCCTTGTTTTAGTGGTGCTGGGGAATTAAACTCATGGCCTGATGAGTGCTGGGCAAGTGCTGCACCACAGGGAGCTGTCCTTGTAATGATGCTAACGAGGACACGTGAACTTGTCACCAGACTTTATCTTCAGCACATTTGAGGCCCAATGTAGCAACTGATGATCTTCTGAGTACCTACAGTGATTGGAAACATGTGACCTTTTTACCTAGTGTTTTGGGGACATGAGTAGACTTTCAGCTTATGAATTTGCACATACTGCTGCTGCAAGGAGAACAACTTTGTGACACTTAACAAAATTAGGATTTGCGGAGAATCTCAGGATACTCTACCTATATAGCGGATACTGTTTTTTTAATTTATTGGGCTGTGCCAGTTTCTGGATCCTTTTGGAGGGTTTGGTAAACAATGCAGCATGGGGAACTTTCCAAATTACGGACTCTCTCCCACAGCCGTAGCAATACTGAGCCCTGCAGGTGGTAGAAGAGAAAAGAAGTGAGTGAAACAAGCATTCATTCAAATAATTGTTACTGGTGCTGTTTTGCAGTGTTAGCCATTGAACCCAGGACCTTGGGCATACTTGGCAAGCTCTCTACCACTCAGCTACAACCCCAAACCCTTGGCTTTCTGAGAGAGGATTTTTCTATGTAGCTCAGGCTGGCTCTCCTGCCTGGTCCTCCTGTTTCAGCCTCCCAATTTCTGGGACTACATGTGTGTTACACCAGACTTTGCTAGCAGCATTATCCACTGCTAGGTGCAGAAACAATTCAATGTCCAATGATGAGGGGTTTAGAAAATGTTGCAGAACTATACAGTATATACTGAGCCATGAAAAGGAATGAAATTATGATACATGCTACAACATAGAAAAATCCTGTACAAGTAAAAGAAGCCAATCATAAAGCACAACCTATTGTATGATTCTATCTCTATGACATGCCCACAATAGGCAAATTCAGAAACGGGAAGTACATTAGTGACTGTGTAGGTACTGTAAGAGTCGACTAAGAGGAACATGAACTAGCTGCTAATAGGTTCAGTGTTTCTTTTGGGGAGACAAAATAGTTTGAAATTAGATTTTGTAATGCTTGTACCAAGATCTGTGAATGTATTACTAAACAGTGAACCATACATTTTAGATGAGTGAGTTGTATGAACATAGTTAATCTCAATAAGCCTGTGTTTAAAAAAAAAAAAAGAAAGCAAGTTGGGTGGCTCATGCCTATAATTCAAGCTACTCAGAAGGCTGAGATATGAGGATCATAGTTCAAACTCAGCCTCAATAAGAAAGTCTGTGAGACTCTATCTCCACTAAAATACCCAAAACAGTGGGAGTAGAGCTGTGGCTCAAGTGTTAGAGTACTAACCTTGAGCATAAATGCTTAAGGACAATGCTTTAGCCTGGAGTTCAAGCCCAGGACCACCACCACCACCACCACCACCACCACCACCACACACACACACACACACACACACACACACTATCTATCTATATACATATATATGTGTATATATACTGTAATATATAAAACAAAAATGGAAGGCAAGCTTTGAAAGATTTAAGTGATTAGAAATAGTGTAATTATGTCCTAAAACAAATTAAAAATAAGAATAGAAAACATCCAGGAACCTAACATCTAGTTAGGTAAAATTCACAATGTTTAGTACTCAAATGTACCAGCTAGACCAGGCACTTGTGGTTCAAGCCTGTGATTCTAGCTACTGAGGAGGCTGAGAATTGCATGTTAAAGCCAGCCTAGGCAGAAAAGTCCATGTGAAATTCATCTCCAGTTAACCACTCAAATACCGGAAGTGGCACTGTGGTTCAAGTTGTAAAGTACTTGCCTTGAGAACAAAGAGGCTCAGGGACAGCACCCAAGCCCGAGCACAAGCCCCACAACCAAAAAAAGAAAAAAGGTTACCAGCTGGATGTAGAGTTGTAGCTCAAGTAGTAAAATGTTAGCTTTGAGCACAAAAAGACTCAGAGACAGCTCTCAATCCCTGAGTTCAAGTCCCAGAACTGACAAAAAAAATTACCAGTATCAGAAGGATCATTCATTAGAAAGAGACCTAGAAATAATATTATAGATAAAAAATGTGAAAAAAGGGGCTTGAGAAGGTGGCTCAGTGGTAGAGCGCTTGCCTTGCAGGCATGAGGCCCTGGGTTCCATTCCTCAGCATCATGTAAACAAAAAAAGCTGGAAGTGGTGCTGTGGCTCAAGTGGTAGAGCACTTGCCTTAAGCTGAAGAGCTGAGGGACAGTGCTGAGACCCAGAGTTCAAGCCCCATGACCGACAAAAAAAAAAGTGAAAACAGCAATCATGCTGGGCTCTGGTGGTTCACACCTACAATCCTAACTACTCAGGAAACTGAGATCTGAGGATTAAAGTTCAAAGATGGATAGAAAAGTCCATAAGACTCTTATCTCTAAGCACCAAAGAGCCACAAGTGGAGCTATGGCTCAAGTGGTAGAGCCTTAAGTGAAAAAGCTAAGGGATAGTGCCTACGTTCTGAGTTCAAGTCCTAGTACCAGCACAAAAGAAAAAGCAGCAATCACAACTATATTCCACGTGTTCAGGAAGGTAGAGAAAACATTAAGGGTGTTAAGTAGAAAAAGACATGAAAATATCCCAATTGAGCTGGGCACCTGTGGCTCACGCCTAAATCCTAGCTACTCAGGAGGCTGGGATCTGAGGATCACAGTTTGAAACCAGCCTAGGCTGACAAGTCCATGAGAGTCTTATGTTCAATAAACTACACTATTGAGAAAAATCTGTAAGTGGAGCTGTGGCTCAAGTGGTAGAATACTGGCCTTGAGCAAAAGAAACTTAGGGACAGCCCCAGGTCCTGAGAACACACACACACACACACACACACACACACACACACACACACACACACACACACACACACACACACACACACACACACACACACCAGTCCTGGGGCAATAACCTCAAGATCTTTATAGGTGCTCATGCTTGGTGCTCTACCACTTGAGCCATTCCTCTATCAATCAGTTGAACTTCTAGAAATGCAATGTATGAGATGAAAAAGATACATGGTTGAGATGAGTGTTATTTCAGGGTACTGGATATTAGTAGAGTGTTTGCCTAGTGTACATGAAGATCTGGGTTCAATCACCAGCACTAGAAAAACAAATGCAAGATAAATAATATATCTTACATTGCAGAAGAAGAGAGAAACAGGATAGAAGAAAAAGAAAAAAACCTCAGGTTCTCTTTACAACATCTTTGTTTTTTTAAACCTCATTGGCAAAGCCTAAGAAATATACAATCCTACAAGGTTAAATTTTAGATATTGCTCTGGATAAACTGGAAATATATATAGATCTTCTAATCCTTAATATATTTTGTCTGCAGATGGAAGGATCTGTGGGTCTCAGAAAAAAGCCCTGGGTTCTGTGTTCATTTTCCCTAAGGCGTTTGGGCAAGATGACAGGTAGGCACTAACCTGTTGGGTACATAACGGAGGGAAGCTTTCCTGGGCTGAGCAAGATTCTCAAGTCTCTCTGTTAGCTGAGCCTTCAAAGCATGCTTAGAAATAGGACGGATGGGATCTTGATTTCCCCAAAGCACACATCTTTTAAGACATAGAAATAAAATAGTAAAAAGAAAATCCACTGCAAATGAGTATCTTAGAAATGGCTCTTGATGATTTTATAATTTCCAGGCACCAGAAAGAGACAAACTAAGATAGAAATAAGACTCTTATCGATCTTGAAAAGTGGGGACCATTTAGGCATGATGGCTCATGCCTATATTTCTAATGTAGGGGCAAAATCAGGAGGATATTACAATTTAAGCCAGTCCCTTGAAAAAGTTTGAGAGACCCCCATCTCAACCCATAGCCTGGGCATGGTAGTGCACACTTGCCATCCCATAAATAGAAAAATCACAGCACAGACTAGACCGGTCATAAATGCAAGAGCCTATTTGAAAACTCAAAGAGAAAGGACTAATGCATGACTCAAGTGGTAAAGCATTTACCTAGCAAGCACAAAGTCTTGAGTACTAGGGAAAAGAAAGTGGTAACAAAAAGGAACCTATTGTAGGGGTAAGATTATTATTGTTGTTTGGAATAACAGTAATTTAGTCAGGTTACATAAAACAGGCCTATTACCAACCTCTACTCTTCTCCCATTTTTGGATGAAACCCATTCTAGGCAGTCAGAAAATAAAACAGCAGTGTGTGAGTGTGTGTGTGTTTGTGTGTGTGTGTGTGTGTGTGTGTGTGTCTGTGTGTGTGTCTGTGTCTGTGTGTGTGTGCGCTCTGCAGCTTGAATTCAGGGCCTGGGCACTGGTGCTCAAGGACTTGAGCTCCACTTTTTGCTTCTTGGTAGTTAATTACAGATAAGAATTTCATGGACTTCCTGCTCTGAGGGCTTTGAACTCTGTTCCTTAGATCTAAGCCTCCAGATTAGCTAGAACTCACTGGTGTGAGCCACCAGTGCCTGGCAAAAAGTAGTAATGGAATAATGTTAACAGCTACCATTGTGGAGTATTTTCTGCTAAGAGCATTGTAGGCATCAGCCCAGTTATTCACAAGCTCTGGGAAATAGGTGTGATTGCTGGGCATGGGGGAAGAAAAAAGGGCAAACTAGTGCAGGATTATTCAGCAGGGACTTCCTGGAAGAAAGCAAATGGTTCAGGCCAGGGGAATGAAGGCTAGTCCATGTTGGGGGTATTATGCGAAACAGAACATTCATCTTAAGCCAGGCACAGGTGGAAGAAGTGAGAGGAATGCTGGAAGGTGACACTGCTAGAATGGGCAAGGAAGGCCCAGAATGCCCAGCAAGGAGCCTCCGTCTGCTGAGGTGGCACGTGATTAGTCTGGCCAACTCAATGACTTTGCCCTTTTAAAAGGAGCCCAGCTATTTTTATTTGTTTTTCAACTTTGTAATATCACTAGTTCCACTGGGCACTGGTAGCTCATGCCTATAATCCTAGCTAGTCAGGAGGCTGAGATCTGAGGATGATGGTTCAAAGTCAGCTTGATCTCAAATAAATCTGAGAGTATCTCACCTGCAACAAATCAGCAAGAAGCTGAGTCAGAGTGATGCAGTAGTAATAAATAGGTTTTGTGGGTAATGGGTGCAGACTCAAATCCCAGTTTTAGTACCTACAAGCTGGTCCACTAGGGTAAATTACTTAACTGTTATATCTTCTAAATTAATTCATTCCTTCGATTCTTCTATTGGTTTCAAATAGGGGAAAGAAAGGATTGTCCTAAGGTTTTTATAGCTACAGTGGTATCATTATGCATGTCTGCCAATGTGGCCCTCTCCTCACTCTATGTGTAGTTCCTGTCCATGAAGGAAAAGAGAATTCAGTGTGCATTATATTCTTAATGTTTAAAATCAGCCTTTGGCTAAATGCATTAATTCAAATATAAAAGTCATGTTTTAATCTTCCAACATAAGCAAATGAAAACAGTAACCTTTAAAAAAATCCAGTTTTTAGATAAAACTAATGTTGTGTGATATGTTAAATTTTTTCTAAGTATATTGGGTTCTTACATAGCAACAACAAGCCATTGATGTTTGAAATATGTGCAAGATGTACATAGAACTAAAAATCCCCGCTGAAAGGAATCAAAGTACAACCAAATAAAAATACAGACAACTGCAAAACGCAAAACTATAAAACATCTTATAGAAGAAAACTATTTTTAAAATACAGCCGGCTGTGGTGGTGCACACTGGTAATCAACAAGGAGGATAATGCAGGAGGATCATGAGTTCGAGATCAGCCTGGGCTACACCTTTTGCCTGGCGCTGGTAGCTTATGCCTGTAATCCTTAGCTTCTCAGGAGGCTGAGATCTGAGGATCATGGTTCAAAGCCAGCCCAGGCAGGAAAGTATGAGACTCCAATTATCCACTAGATAACTGGAAGTGGTGCTGTGTGGCTCAAGTGGTAGAGCACTCGTCTTGAAGAGCTGAGGTGCAGTGCCTAGGCCCAGAGTTCAAGCCCCACAACCAAAACAAAAAAAAAATTGACAATTGGTATATAGAGTCAATACCAACAGCATAGACCATACAAAGAAAAACTGTCAGTTGGTTTAGTAAAAAATAAAACACAGCAAAGAGAATGAAAAGACAAGTCTCAAACTGAACAGTATGTACAAAACATATATCCTATTAAAAACAAAATGTAACCAGCAGGCATTGGTGATTCACACCTGTAATCCTGGTTTCTTAGGAGACTGAGATCTGAGGATTGTGATTCAAAGCCAGCCTAAGCCAGAAAGTCCAGAGACTCTTAGCTCCAATTAATTACTAAAAAGCTGGCAGTGGAGCTATGGTTCAAATGGTAGAGCTCTAGCCTTGAGAAAAAAAAGCTCAGAGACAGTGCTTAGGCCCTGCGTTCAAGGCCTAGAACTGGCGCGCGCACACACACACACACACACACACACACACACACACACACACCACAGTATCCAAAATATATAAAGAAATTCAAACCACTCAAATTTTAATGATAAGAAAACAAATCACTCCATTAAAAATGGACAAAAGAGCTGGAAACCTTTCCAAAGAAAACAGAAAATAAGAACAAAATATATTTAATGTGATATCTTGAGGTTATTGCAGATTAAAACAATGAGATGCCACCACACATCTGTAAGAATGGGTAACATCCGCTGACAACACAAAAGGCAAGGATGTGGAGCAACTGGAACTCCCACCCTGCTAGTAAGAATGGAGGATAATTCAACACTTCCTTCCTAAATATGCTCCTAACATAGGACCCAGCAACTGTACTCACATCCTAGATATTTACTCAAATGAGGTTGAAAACGTGTCTACACAAATATACATGAATGTTTATAACAGCTTTATTCACAATTGCCAAATATTAGGAACAACCAAGCTGCCCTTCAAGAGGTGAATGGATAAACTGGTTCATCCATACAGTGGATCAATGGAACACGCACTAAAAAGGAAAGGGCAGTTGTTTCGTGAAAACATGGAGAAAACTTAAATGCCCATTACTAATTAAACAAGCCTCTCTGAAACCATACTATATGATTCAGACCATGTAACATTCTAGAAAAGGCAAAACTGTGCAGACTGGAAATAGGTTGGTGGGTACCAAGGCAGGAGGGAAGAAAGATAATCAATAGATGACACACAGGAGTTTTAGGGCAGGGAAGGTATTCTGTATAATACCACAAAAGTGAATCCATGAAGCAGGGTGCCAGTGGCTTATGCCTGTAATCCTATTCACAAGGCTGAGATCTGAGGATCATAATTAGAAGCCAGCCCCAGGCAGGAAAGTCCATGAGGCTAGCAAAAGCAAGCAATGTGGCTGAAGTGGTAAAGTACCAGGCCTTAAGCTGAAAGGCTAAGGAACAGCATCCTGACCTTGAGTTCAGGCTCCAGTATGGCATGCATGCATGCATGCACGCACGCGCACTCGCACACACACACACACACACACAAAGTGAATCCATTATATTATGTACTTGTGAAAACCCAGCAAACTATACAACACAAAAAGTGAACCTTAATACCAACTAAGGGCTTTTGAGGGCTTTTGGTTCTTCAACTACAACCACTGAACCAGACTATTGCAGTGTACTCAGAACTAGGGAAAGAATGGTAACCATGGGAACTACATTTTCTGCTCTTAAATATTCAGGCTTTCCTCAGGGGCCAGATAAGACTGAGTGTCCTATGGGCAGGCATGGAAGAATGGAGGCCCAAAGAACAGATAAGCTGTAGGCAAAGCTCAGGTCAACAGGAGCGGGTGTTACAGGATCTGTAGCAAGCATGGAATCACACATTGACGCAGTTATTCTGAGCTTTTCTGCTAATTAGAAGCATCTGGGAAGTTTTGGATGCTTCCAAAGCTGTACCCAGACCAATTATATCAGGGTTTCCGGGGATGGGATCCAGGCTTCATTAGTTAGCATCACTCCCCAGATGATGCTAATAATTCTGAATGAGGACTAGCCTGCCATGGTCTGAGCCAGCCAAGATGGCAATATTGACTAAGTAGATCCACACTAGTAGAGCTGGATGGATACACTTGGGATTCGGGGCTAATAGGCAGGTAGGAATAATACTTATCTACTTGATGTAACAAGTACAATCATAACAACAAGACCATATAAAATCATCTTACCGATCTGGAATTCCCCATTGTCTTTTAGGCCTAGAAAGAGCTTGGATTCTTTTTCTAGAAAAAGAACTAAAAAATATATCAGCTGGTTAATTTAAAAGAGTGGTTAAGAAATATGATTACATTAGATGACTCTTGCTCAAAGCATACTACAGGAAAAGGACAGTAGTGAATCTGAGGTAATCTACAGAGGGCCAGGCTAGAGGTGTGGCTCAAGTGGTAAAGCACCTGCCTAGCAAGCATGAGGTCCTAAGTTTGCACTCAAATACTGCAAAAAAGTAATAATTAATTGCTTAATTCGAATTCTGAAAGGTTCAAAGTGCCCCAAAATAATGTGGACCAAAGAGTTTCAGTTCTAAAATGATTGATATAATATTTAATGAAAGGAACATTAATACACAATAGGGCATATAGCCTGTTGTTTGGTTTTGAAAGTTTCTATTTTCTTTTGTTTCTCTGCAGTACTGAGGACTGAACTAAGGCCTCATGTTTGCTAGGCAAGCACTTTGCCCTTTAAGCCACATCTCTAAAAAAATGAACTGTGTTATGAAATTACTTTGTAGATGACTTTTGGCACTGGATTGTGAAGATCTTATACAGTTTCAGACAAAGTCTGGCTTTGATGAAGCTCTGAAAGGATGACATATACTTTAGCACCAATCAGTTTTCTCATGTTCTGCTCTGCTCTCTTGAACATTTCCTAGTCAAATTTTTCCTCTTTTCTTTTACCTGTGCTGGTCCTGGGGCTTGAACTCAGGGCCAGGGCTCTGTCTTGAGCCCACTTGAACTACCACTCTACTTCAGGATTTTTTTGTGTGATTAATTGGAGATAAGAATCTCACGTTCCTGCCCAGGTTGGCTTTGAACTGCAATTCCCAGATCTCAGCCTCCCAAGTAGCTGGGATTACAGGCCTAAGCACGGGTGCTCAGCTTTGGGACAGGAGTTTGCACTCTCCATGCACCCACTTCCCAGCTGCCTTTGTGGTAGTTTGGAGCCATGAACATAGTCATGTCCAACTTCAGCAGGGGTACTGGGGATCACCTGAGCAATGTGCTTAAGAGTTAGTGTTTCCCTTTCACCTTTCTCTTTCCCCGTCGCACTCACTGACCATGAATTAAAGTGCTACTTGGAAACCACATAGTCTAAATAACAGAGCTTCAAGGTAGAGGAAGACCAACCAGTTCACACCAAACTATAGCATGAGGGAGAAATCAACTTTCATTATGTTAAATCATTAGGAGCTTTGTATCTTATTTTTACTGCAGCATTGTCTATTTAATTCAGGCAAACACAGCTCCTATGTGATTCTAGCTTCTGTTGTAATTAGTTATGTACTTGGAGTTTGAGGAGCCTAATAATCATCAGGTTGGATCTTTTTTGTTTAGTTCTTCCCACCACATCTTAGAGCCAACTGAAAAACAGACAGAACAATTGGACAAATAGAATAAATATATTATCTCGCTATGGATAAAACTATATTGCAGTAGTATGCATCCCTGAATTGAAATTGTGCCCAGAATTGCAGGAGCCACCGGTCTCCCTTAGGGGCTAAGCCTCCTGTGTGTCAGAAAGATCACTATAGATAGGCAGATCCCAAAGACAGAGGACTCTGAAGGTCCAGTTCTGCCACATGTCCGTCAAATAGCTGTCCTGAGAAGCTTACTTGGGGTGAGGGAGTGGAGCAAGAGGCCCAGTGACGTAGTCAGTGCAAATGCTTTAGTGGTCAGGTGATGGAAAAAGCATTCTCCACACACCTGCCTGAGCTCCTTCACAGGCTTTAAACTCTTCATAGAAATAGCCGTGGCCCTCCTGCAGCACTTGCAGCCCCCGGTGTGAAGAGATGCTCTCTTAATGAAATGACACATGCACCAGGGAGCACCTCTAAGAAAGTGGGAGGAGCCAAGGGGGGGTCTTAATAGTCAGCAACTCCCAGGGTTTCACTTTCACAAAATGGAGCCATTTGCTCAGAAGAGCAAGCTAAAAATCCCTTCATCAGAATTGATTTCTGATGGTGTTGAATTAACAGTGTCACCCCCAGCTTTCAGTACTGACTTACTTCACATTTTATGGCCTTGTCTTAGCGGTGCCACCATACCACCAGCTGCTACCACCTTTACTGAGGACTGTAAAAGGAGGAGCACCTCAAGACTGAGATATGGCAGGCACTTTGATCTGACACCAGATCACTGGCATGAACCCTGTCCAGGAAGATCACCACAGCACAGTACTTCTGTTTCTGACCCTGGATTCCAGCTCAAGGTCAGTTTCTCCTGACACACAGCCTACTTCCAATTGACCCTCAAAACACCTGCCTGCCAACTGAGTGCGTAGTGGCACACAGATGAAATCTCAGCTATTTGGGAGGCAGAGGTGGGATGACTCCAGTTGGAGGCCAACCCGAGCAAAGTTAGTGGTGTTTTATTTAAAACTCGAACTAAAACCAAAAGGACTAGGGCTGTGTGACTCAGTGGTAGAACACTGGCAAGTACAAGACTGAGGGGGAAAAAAAAGAACTACCTACCATCCTACTTGCATTTGACAACTCAGTGCTAACAGACCTGTGCCCCTAATTATAAACGTCTTTATCTGGTCCTTTCTCTGTGTCTGTATCAGTTGTGTCTGCTTGTGCCTCTGTTTCAGCCATTTAAATCCTGTATCCTCTTTAATCTTTCTGAGTGAGTCTGTAGCACATATGATTTAATGTAAGTATGATATAATGCTAGTATGACAATGTGTGATAATCATCTGGTAAAAGCCATAGCAGGTGCCATAAATAATTCTAATTAAATTGACTTAAAACATTTTGAAGCAAACTTTGTATATGAGATGTTATTTCAGAAATCTCAAACCATAAAGAATGCATAGAAAATAGACTAAATGGATGACCATCTTAAAAACCTGTTCTTATATTAATAGAGTTGGCAGTTGTGTACAAAATTAAAACAGATCATTATGTGTTACCTTAAAAAGTTAAATTAAAAAGCTATCTAATTTCTAATTCCAGATGCAAAGAAAAGAAAGTCAACTATGTTGGACTCTGGCTATGTTAGACACAGGGCCTTGTGCTTGTGTGTGTGTGTGTGTGTGTGTGTGTATGAAGTAAAATGTGTGATCTGAGCCTGGCATCAGTGGCTCATGCCTGTAATCCTAGCTACTCAGGAGGCTGAGATCTGAGGATCATACTTCAAAGCCAGCCTGGACAGGAAAGGCCATGAACTCCTATCTCCAATTATCTACTAGAAAGCCAGAAGTGGCACTGTAGCTGAGTGGTAGAGCACTTACCTTGAGCTGAAGAGCTCAAGGACAGTACCCAGACCCAGAGTTCAAGCCCCATGGCTGACCAAAAAAAAAAATGTGTGATCTGAGAGTGAATATTAGTAATTAACACTAGGACTGAAGAACCCGCGATTGCCAAGAGCCACAAATACCAAATAAAACCAGGAGTACTTGGTGAATTAAAGCTGATCAAATTGACATAGCTTGTAAATGTATGGGTATTCAATGAATCCCAACATTTTGAAAAGACACAATCACGTCTGTGTTCATAGCATAGCTTGCTCACAACCTAACCAGGAGAATCTTCGGCTGTGAAAAGTTTGGCATCAGCTTTGCAATGGTATTGAGCAACCGTGGCATCACGCCCAGGCATCATGTGCACACAGTGAAGACACTGTCCGTTGCTAGACAGAACACCTCCATCCTTCTTCCCCACAAGAGCAGCCTTGCATGTGAGTAACTCCTGTTGCCTGGGCCACTCTCCAGGGAGGTGACTTGAAAGTGACTCAGAGGTGGAGAAAGCTATGCTTTCAGATAGGACCTCATGTATTAATCATTTATGATAACTTAGCTTCAGATTGCACCAAGATTCCCCTTACTACTGTCTTTTTACCAGAAAAATAATGGGGTTTCCTAGCTGTGGTATTTTATGCAAGACTACCAACCATGTAATCAGTACTACTGCAATTTGTAAACTGGGATGTTATTTCAATGGAATTAATTTCTCTAATATTTGCTAATTTTTTACCAATACCTCACATTTCCAACCTACATGTCTTAATTCATTTCTTTCCACTTTTGGTAGTACTGGGATTTGAATCAGGGCTTTATGCCTGCAAGGCACTCTACCATTAAGCCATGCGCCCCCCTCCCCACCAGCTTTATCTTAATCAGCACATGGGTTTCCTTTTTGTTTCAGGAATTGTGTTAACTAAACATCATGTTATGTTCCTGTGCAGAAACAAAAGAATGTAAAAGGTTTTAATTCTTTTTTTTTTGACGGTCATGGGGCTTGAACTCTGGGTCTGAGCGCTGTCCCTCAGCTCTTTAGCTCAAGCCAAGTGCTCTACCACTTGAGCTACAGCGCCACTTCCAGTTTTCTGGTGGTTTATTGGAGTTAAGAGTTTCACCGACTTTCTTGCCCAGGCTGGCTTTGAACCGAGATCCTCAGATCTCAGCCTCTTCAGTAACTAGGATTACAGGTGTGAGCCTCTGTGCCTGGCAAAGGTTTTAATTCTTTTTTTGGGGGGGGGGGATCCGGTCGTGGGGCCTGAACTCTGGGCCTGGGTGCTGTCCCTCAGCTCAAGGCTAGCGCTCTACCACTTGAGCCACAGTGCCACTTCTGGCTTTTTTCTTTTTGCTTATGTGGTGCTG